AAAAAAATAACAAACAAAACTCAGTGTGTGTGTGTGGGGTATGAAAGACGACTTGCACAGTACCTGAAGGTTCCGATGAGACATGGAGTTCCGCAGAAGCCACTGCAACGCCCCCAGAACTTGCTGAGCAATCAGCCGGATACGCTCCAACTCAACCAGCGTAATAGTGTTCTTCGTGTTGAAGGCGGGCGACTGGGCTGTCTTGATGGAAGTCACGGAGTGAACAAGACTCGTGAGCGGTGTGCCACGCGGATGCTCGCAGACAAGGTGAACAGCATACCAGTCGTTCCAGTCGACAGTGTCGCTGGAGCTTCCGCTGTCGCCTGCAAACCGGGGGAAAAGGGGTGGGGGAAGATGGCGAATAGTCAATTGGTCTTGGAAATCGTCTACCAAGCAAAAAGACTAAACGGAGGGCAACAATAAAGCTGCCCGAGGTACAAAGATATCACTAGGCCCAGGATTGTGTCTTACGAGAGTGGTACTAATAGGAGTGTTATGATTAGGTCGTATCACAGGAAAGAAAAAATGAATTAAAAAGTAGCGCGTATAAAAGCAGAAAATAATAAGAAATATCAAAGGACCAAAAAACTGCGCGCTATAATTAAAATGATAAATCCAACCAGGGGGAAACAAAAACTGCTCAAAAGTATTAGCAAATTGGTGTGCAAGTAAGTCAAGATTTAGAGAGTAAAAAAGAAAGATAAACACTTCGTCCATTTTTTAAAACTCACAATAGTTTATACCGCCTACGGAGGGATATTGCACTAGGATAAGTCGAAGAGCAACCGTATATCGCTTAAAAAATTAAACTGAATTAAAAATTAAGTTATCTAAAACTATAACAAAGAGTAAACTAAAACATTAAATAATAAAGTGTAAACTAAACGAAAACTATAAGTAACCACAGGAAATAAAATATTTCAGAGTTTTGGGGTGCAGCAGTAAAAATAACTACGCCTATCAAATTACATATAGTAGGTATATAAGTACATATATTACTGGACTTGGGACAACTTTACTGTTACTGAACGGAAGTAAGGAGGATGGTGATGATGATGAAATGATGGTGGAGGAGAGGGAGGAGGAGGAGGAGGAGAAGAAGAAGAAGAAGAAGGAGGAGGAAATAAAAGCTAGACAGCATCTACGGCCTAATTGTCATACCCAAATGGGCGACTGCGTCCATGCCTGCGCAGTAGAGTCGAACGGACAAACATTTAAAAAGCTGGCTCGTCCTGGAAGCCGTGCGCGAAATAGACACCACAAATGACATTGCAAAATCAGCCTAACTCACTCTTAACCAGCACACCGGTCAGTACTGCCAGAAGTGCCGCTAACACTGGGCACAACTGTTCAACGTGTTCTCTGCGTGGACTGGTCTTGTGTTATGTCGGCTGCCTTATAAGTCGTCAAAGTGAGTGAAAAGGGACTTGCCACTGGCAAGAGACCCTGCCCTTGCCTGTTCTAATGCTCCGGCATGAAGTGACACATTACTTCGACTGGATTGTCTCTTTGATGCTGTCACGGGTCGAAGAACAAAACAAATGGAGTCTGGTGCTATAACCGACACAATTGGACTTTCAAGGAACAGGTGGATAGAAGACCCGATAGTTGGAGTAAGAAGTTAATTTGCGCTAAGGACAACCATCAGCTATGCACGCAGAAGCCGCCAATCTGGATAGGTGTCTTGTAAAGTAAAGTAAGGGCAACCGAACGACTAGGCATCAGTTTTGGCGCCAAATCAAGCCAGCGTTATAAGTGCACGCCACAACCGAGGTCATTTTAATTGTCCCATTCGACCGTAGACATGCATGCAAGTAATTATTTAAGGTCAGTAGCTAGGTCAGCTCCACAGGTCCTTCCACATGCAACTTCTATGCCGTAGGTGTGAGGCGAGACTGACACTGGCGTAGCATCCCATGCCTGAATTACCCTCTTAGAGAAGAAGAATTTTCGTGTGTCTAATCTTGTGTGGATTGGCTGACTGGCAGACCGAGAAACAGGCTGCAATGGAGCTTTCTAAATAA